GTGCAAAATTCGTAAAGTTCTTACCGATTGATCTTTGCTATTTGTACACGGACTTTTGACACCTTGTTTCACACTTGCATTGTTGTCAAGTGTGAATTGGATGGGAAAATTGTTTGAAATTTAAACTGTCTAAGAGGGTAATGACACGTGGTAACGTGTAAACTAAAGTGTACACCATAGTGTACATGTTGCAAGTTCCTTACCGATTGATGTTTGCTATTTGTACACAGATTTTTTGACACGTCGCACTTGCATTGTTGTCAAGTGTGAATTGGGTGGGAAAATTGTTTGAAATTTAAACTTTCCAAGGGGGTAATGTCACGTGGTAAAGTGTAAACTAAAACGTACACCATAGTGTATATGTCGCAAGGTTCTTACCTATTGAACTTTGTCATTTGTACACTAATTTTTGACATATTGTTTCACACTTGCATTGTTGTCAGGTGTGAATTGGACGAGAAAACTATTCGAAATTTAAACTGTCTAAGAGGGTAATGACACGTGGCAAAGTATAAACTAAAGTGTACACCATAGTGTATATGTCGCAAGGTTCTTACCGATTGATCTTTGTTATTTGTACATTGATTTTTGATACGTTGTTTCACACTTGCATTGTTGTTAGGTGTGAATTGGATGAGAAAACTGTTCGAAATTTAAACTGTCCAAGAGGGTAATGACACATGGCAAAATGTAAACTAAAGTGTACACCATAGTGTATATGTCGCAAGGTTCTTACCGATCGATCTTTGCTATTTGTACACTGATTTTTGACACTTTGTTTCACTCTTGCATTGTTGTCACGTGTGAATTGGATGGAAAAATTGTTTGAAATTTAAACTGTCCAAGAGGGTAATGACATGAGGTAAAGTGTAAAATAAAGTGTACACCATAGTGTACATGTTGCAAGTTCCTTACCGATTGATGTTTGCTATTCGTACACTAATTTTTGACACGTTGTTTCACACTTGCATTGCTGTCAAGTCCGCATTGGATGGGAAAATTGTTCGAAATCTAAATTGTCCAACAGGGTAATGTCACGTGGCAAAGTGTAGACTAAAGTGTACGCCACGATGTACATGTCGCAAGGTTCTTACCGATTGAACTTTGCTATTTGTACACTGATTTTTGACAAGTTGTTCCACACTTGCTTGTTGTCAAGTGTAAATTGGATGGGAAAATTGTTTGAAAGTTAAACTATCCAAGAAGGTAATGACACGTGGCAAAGTGTAAACTAAAGTATACACCATTGTGTACATGTCCCAAGGTTCTTACCGATCGATCTTTGTAATTTGTAGATTGATTTTTGACACGTTGTTTCACACTTGCATTGTTGTCAAGTGTTAAATGGATGGAAAAACTATTTGAAATTTAAACTATCTAAGAGGGTAATGACACGTGGCAAAAGTGTAAATTAATGTGTACACCATAATTTACATGTAGCAAGGTTCTTTCCAATTGAACTTTGCTGTTTGTACACTAATTTTTGACACGTTGTTTCACACTTGCATTGTTGTCAAGTGTTCATTAGCTGGGAGATTTTTTTGAAATTTAAACTGTCCAACAGGGTAATGGTACGTGACAATGTGTAAACTAAAGTGTACACCACGGTGTACATGTAGCAAGGTTCTTACTGATTGAACTTTGCTATTTGTACACTGATTTTTGATCTTTGTTTGAAGCTTACATTGTTGTCAAGTGTCAGTTGGATGGAAAAACTATTTGAAATTTAAACTGCCCAACAGGGTATTAACACATGGCTAAGTCTAAACTAAAGTGTACATAATAGTGTACATGCTGTAAGGTTCTTATCGAATGAACTTTGCTATTTGTACACTGATTTTTGACACCTTGTTTAACACTTGCATTGTTGTTTAGTGTAAATTGGATGGGAAAATTGTCTGAAACTCGGAACCCGGAACGTTACCAATCGTGTGAAACCCGGAACCCGAATTCTCTAGCAACCCGGAACGTTACCAATCGTGAATTGATTAATAAAGTGCTTGAGGCAAATACATTTTAATATAACGAGAAATTCAGTAAAAATTGAACAACCTTAACAAAAGGTAAATTAAATTAAATAACATATGCGGAAAAATTTGGAATCATATTTTTTATCAAACATTAATAAAAGTAGTTCTGACAAATAATAAAAATAGGACTAATTGAAAGTTATGACGTGACTCACAATTGAGTCTAAATTTAAAAATAATAATAATCAACTGTTATTAAATATTCTAGTGTTTCTAAAAATTAAAGTACTTCATGATGGAGATCCATTGGTCCAATATGCATCCATCCACCGTCGTCCAGCATACTAATTTCTACCTGAAAATTGTAAATAGAGAGGGATGAGTATAACGAATTATACTCAATGAGATGCTTGCTACTCCACATTCAAATCAAACGTGAAATTATGCATAAATTCTCTTACCAACATAACATGAGAATTATCACACCATGACAAATGATAATTCAAGCAAGCGCTGCAAATAACGTGAAGGCTAAATTGTGCCTTAAACTGTATCATGATTTCTCCCAAAGGAGCTCTGAACTGAAGTAATTAAATCCATACATAACAACGTATTTGAAAAGATGTGGACAAACCACTAATAGCACTGAGCATCTCACCTTACGTAATGAATCGTGTGGAGCAAAATTGCAGGGAAACGAGATTCTTGATTGTATATTCAAAGATTTAATGTTTTCTTTCTCTTCTTTGCAAAAATAAATATTTTATAGAGGAACAGAGACAGATCGAAACTAAAGAATTACTGGGATGAATAATGATATGAGATAATAATGCGTCTCACCTCTATTTATAATGAATTAACCGAAGAGTTTTGTAGAAATTAATCACTTCATTTAGACCGTATTTAATCAAACTATATCAAACAAACTTTGAATTTATCTCGATTGTCATGCCATACTTATCTACACACGTGACTGCCTAAACACTGGCCT